GGGGGCTGGGGGGGGCTGCAGCCCCCCCAATAATTTGCTAATAATCATTCTTTTTCAAAATCATGCAAACTTTATCATTTAATCTGTGACAAACTGCAAAGAATGAAGATATTACTCATACTCCAGATCGTTCCTCGCGTAGAAATTTTAGCTGAATTTCTGTCGCGCATTTTCAAGAAAATCCCACAAAATCTGCACATTTTGATGAACTAATGATTTATTTTGTCTTTTGCGTGTTGGGTCTTGCGAAAGAAAACTCTGAAAATGCCATTTCAGACCATCTAGAGACTCCAGATTTTCGAAATTTTCTCAAATGTTCTGCCTTCATTTCCGCGCAACTGCCATTTACGACCAAAATTCCCGCCGTGCATTTATAATACTACAGTCTGGCCCATACTTTCCTGTAAATTTCGACATACTAAAACGCTGTTTTCTGACTATCAGAATTCTGTTAAATCTTCCCCCAAAGTCCAGGAAATGGCATTTTAGAGACTCTAAATTTAAAAATTTCCTCGGGCCTTCGGCCCTCGCTTTCAGCCCCCCCAATCGAAAAGAGCTTCCTACGGCCCTGGTTTACGAAGAAAAAAACTTACGAGACTAAAGGAATCAGTTGAGTCAGAGCTCCTTGTATAAATAAGAAAGACGAGGAGATAGCCAACGTGTTTAGGTGTTTATCGCCAACGTGTTATCGCTAATGGTAAGAATTGGCTCGCCAACAAGCTTTATGCAAAAGAAGAAAAAAGCAAGGAGGTACATGTAGCCAACGTGTACATTCACGGACCGTGCCTTTGTTTACTGTCTAGTGTCTAGCACAACGCCGTTGTCAACGGTGCAAACTCGTATTCAGTGCAACGATAACTCTACCAGATCTTACTGTGCGAGAATCAATCTGTAGTATTCTGTACACAGAACTGTATCAAAGCTTGTCAAAAATGTTTTAAACACTGCTATAACTATGTGAAACTATTGAAATCTAAAGTGATATTTATATTCAACACATGCGAAAAGCTGAAAATAGACACACGTCACACTGGGAAAAGTCAAAGGTCAATAAAACTTGTTATTGTGAAACATGTCACAATTAAGTTAAAATGCGGAAGCGGATGGAGTGGATCCACGGAACGGATATGCGGATAAAATACGGAACGCGTGAGGATAAAATGCGTCTTTTAATGATGTAACGACGTAGTGCTTATTATTCATAACATATCTTATACAGCTATTTCAATTATAGTTTATTAGATAAATTTAGCATAGCAGTAGCCTCGTGGGGATGCTTTTAGCGACAGCTGCAAATGCAAATGAAAATTTAGAAAATGCAAAATTTGGTTGTTGGTGACACAATAAATAGATGAATTGCATCAGTTTCACAAGGCACGTTTCTGATGTGTTAGGCTTGTTTCAAACGTCACGCTACTCGTGTGCCGAGCGTATTAAAAGCAATAAATAATGAGATGAAATGCCTTTGGTAACTGTTTATTTTGTAGTGTAAGCCATCAAGCTTTCCTAGGTTGTCGGCGACCCTATATAGTTCTTGCAGTGTCTTTTTAAATTTGAAACTTCACACTATCCTTGGATCCCTAGTTAAAAAACTACACTGATTAAGCGAAAATTGTAATGCAAGTAAACAAACCACATCTTGCATGTAAACTCAAGATTGGAATTAAAGGAAACAAATTTTACACAATCTTAAAATTATTCTTAGATATGCATAATATGTAGTGTTTTGAAACGTTTGTATACAGTATATGTTTTAGTTCGGTATTCCCTCTTATGCAGTTCCTCTTGGGCCATTCACCCCAGTTCTGCCAATAAACCCAACCTGCCATTTGATGGAGTCACATTGGGAATAAATAGTTATTTGTTAACATACCTCATGCAGGTTTGGTTCAAACGTCGCATTTTCATGTGTCGACTACAATTCGTATTAGATTCGAGCGAACTATATACGTGCAAAAGTCTACGCCCTTTAAGACATAACAATCTCGTATTAAATTTTTCTTAAGAATATACCGAAGATCGTTCAAAGAACATCGTCGAGATGAAAGTGTGGAAGCATATGATTCGTTGTGATGAATCTATTGCAAAAACAGCAAAATTTGTCAAAAAATAGAAATATCGAAAGATTTCTCTTTTTCCGAAGTAGCAACATATTACATTTCAATATGCATATAACAATTACATGAAGTCTTTCAAGCCACGCCCAACCGAATTAAATCCCACACATGCAAAATATGACGTCTGAAACCACGTCGCACTTTGCTTATGCGGTCGCACCAGAAGAATTTAAAATTTACGGTCGACCGCGCAATTGGAAACGTCGAATATTATTGTTTCAGACGTCGAAATTTTGCTTGTGTTTAATCCAAGCTATTGAATTGGACACATGCAAAATGAGACGTTTGAAACAGATTTTTCTTTTTCTAGCATATTTTGGAGGTGCTCTGAATTGCTTTGTTCACGTTTTTATGTATTTCTACTACATGCTGTCAGCACTTGGTCCTCAGTACAGAAAATATTTATGGTGGAAAAAGTATTTAACTTCGTTACAATTGGTAAGTCGTATATGACATAAGGTAGTCTGAATTTACGAAATGCTAAATTGCATGGTAACACGTGTATTTCAATCGATTTGGTGAAAGAGCGCTAAATAGCTATAAGCTTGTGCAGATATTTGGTATACGATCTAGTACGTTTTAACATGCAAAATCACCACGATGACTGATCTGAATATTGCGAAATTTAGGCCAGAAAATTAGAGTTATGTCAAGTTTTAGTTAACTATGTGCGTGCTATCAGAATGAGGGTGGTAAAGTATCAATTACACTCGATTATTTCCATTTACAAAACCAATCAATTATTATTCAATCAAGTGAGATGCCAACAAACATTAATCCATACCTTAACGTGACTGGACCCTAGTATATGTACATGAACTTGTGGTTAGAGCACGACAACTGGCCTCTGTAGCTCAGTATGTAAGAATTACGCTGCACCGGAATCGCATGCTGCATGAGATCCGATTCCTACCAGAGGACGTGTACAGGCTGTATAAAAAAACTGAACAGATTTGAAATTGCTCTCAATCTCGTAAAACAGCTCGTGGTATCAAGTTTTTGTTATACATAGATTCGTTGAGTACCCATAGTGTAGAAAAATGAAAAAATACTCCAACTCAAATCGTGTGAACCAGGGGGTGTTCCTTTACAACAAACTAAATATGGCTTGCGCACGATATTTAATAACTTTAATCGTATTTTGAGTCAATGTATGGAAAATTTGTTCGATTTTTAATTACTGTACAAAATTTCAGACAATTTGTTTTAGTTTAATCCCTTTAAATACAATACGCACGTGACGGCGAAGACCAGATAATTTATGAATAAACGTTGTTAACATAGATAATGAGTTTTATTGTTATTCTAATGAGTTTCATAGCAATCTTACCTTCGATAAGCTATGATCTAATAAAGCATATATAAAATATAAAATAATGTGAAATCGTGGCAGCTAGTTTTAGAATCGGTCAAATAGTGAAGTTAATTTAAGACTTGACTTCCATTACCTTACACCGGCTCAGTGTACGATATGATTGGTTAATCGGATAGATTAATAAATACACACAATTGACCATTTGAGTAATAGACTAAATTTTGATCTCAACAAAAATTTCATTACAGCTTGAAAGAGCATCACAGAATTAGTAATATTCCAAAGTTTCGTTGCAAAATGTTGTAAAATGCGGAAAATATAGCCTTGCGAAATTTGCAATTTTCAGTCATTTTAGATTACAAACCGGAAATTGACAGCCTCGAAGGGTTTGGGGCTGTCAATTTCCCGTTTGTAATCTAAAATGACTGAAAATTGCAAACTTCGCAAGGCTATATTATCCGCATTTTACAACATTTCGCAACGAAACTTTGGAATATTACTAATTTTGTGATGCTCTTTCAAGCTGTGATGAATTTTTGTCTAGAC